CATCGAAGCCAGAGGAGCAGAAAGCAACACTTTTGAACCTTCTAGTGAAGTCTTTCAGAGAGGCTCACTCTTTCCAGGACCAGCTGAATAGGATTCCAATAAACATATTGCTGAAATGTTTGTTTCCGGGTGTCATTTTAGACTGCAAGTAGCTAAAACAGACCCAGCTCCTATATATAGACGCTGCTGCATTTGGTTGTGCTCTAGGAGGCTTTTATTACTATGCTCCTTGGCTGGCTCCCAGCTGAGTCTTTCCCTCGGATTTTGGAATTAGGAAGTCAAAAAGGATCACTGACCATGTTAAGGGTCTCTCTCTCTCTCTCTCTCTCTCTCTCTCTCTCTCTCTCTCTCTCTCTCCTCCCCCCTTCTCTGTTAATGCTCTGGATGCCAGCATAGTGTGGCTCTTCTCTCTTCTCAGAGCCTCCTAATATTAATGGTGACACTGCTGTTGGGAAGAGACCAGTCCCACTGTGGCAGTGAATCCAGGCAAATCTCCCCTGCCATCTGAAGGAAGCAATTTGTGTCAAAATGAAGTATAGATGGTCACACACAGCCTGGTCTAGATAAGAGGACCCAGAACCCTTAGTGGTTAGAACAAAGAGAGGGATTTTAAAAAGGTGTTTGTTTGTTTGTTTTTGAGGGAGGGTGGGCGTTAGAATTCCACTCATGAATTTTCCAGGGGGATGCAAGCTAGGGCCGCAAAGGTGAAGGAAGGTGCAGTGAGTGGCAGAGGAGGGGAAGCTGTCAGGAGGGGTGGGGAAGAAGGGCTTCTTTAAGGAGACAACCTTGGCCTCTGGTTCTTAAAAAATGTGCCCTGTCCCTGAGGCAGTCTCTCCGCTGTGTGTCCATTGTTTTCTCGGCCCCATTCTCCAGTGGCTTTCTTCACCTGTTCCTGTGACCCTGCTGTGTTTATCCAGCATGGCTCTAACTGCCTTTCAGGTCTCCACGTTTCATGTACTCGCCCCCTCACTTTGCTCCTTCCCCGTTTCATGTGGTCCCCACTCTTCTCTCAGTCCCCTCCTGCTCCCAGATTACTCTTTACCAACCCTCCTGCCCTCCCTCTCCCGGCTCACTCCTTTCCCCTTTTGTCCCCCCTCCTGCTCCCCTCCCTCCCTCCCCCTCCCCCTGGCTTTCCCCTCTCCTCCTCCCCCTCTGTCCTCTGGCCCCCTCACTGCCTTATCACCCTCTCTCCCCTCTCTCCTTGCCCACCTCCCCATCCCTTCTCCTTGCTCCCCTCCCTTTCCTTTCTTCCTCTTTCTCTGCTCTCCCTCTCTGCCCTAGCCCTCTTTTATACAGCTCCAATTTCTTGCCTTCTAGATTTACCTGCAGACCAAGACACCGCTCCTCTTGCAAGAACTGTTTAAGAAATCCATATCCTCTCCCTTCATTCCTTGGGCATTTCAGAAATGATATTCCTCCCCCAACTACCCCGTCAAAATAAAATGAATTCAGCCAGCTCCTGCTGTGTGTCCTTAAATTCATTCCCTCTAGCTTCGCTGGTTTGAAAGCCTGTACCCTAGAAGGGGCCTCCTGCATTTGCTGGCAACCCTGCTTGAGTCTGATCGCCACAGATAGTGCTTTGGAGTAAAAAAAATAAAAAGGGGGGAAAACCCTCTCGTTGGAGATTCCAAAACAGATTCTACCAGCTTTCAAATCTGTGCACTTTGCGGAGTGGCAGGGTTTGAGGGAGAGGGGTTGGAGACTTGGGGTGTGGGTGTCTCTCATAAACAAATAAGCAACAGAATTTATATATGTATAAATTTGAGCTTTCCCTTGGCATGTTTGGTGTCTGTCTCCCTGGCATCAAGGGTGGGTGCTGTGTAAGTCTGACTTCTCTCACACTTTTGCTCCCGCTTGGGGTGTGAGTGTCTGTACGAGTGTGTGTGATGGAATTGAGGAGGGGGGTTGCTGTGTTTTTGATCCGATTCACTTGACAGATTATCTGAATCCAGCCCACCTTTCCGCACATGTCAAACAGATGGGATCATTGTTAAAAGCCTGGAGAGCCGGGCTGAGCGGTGGGTAAGGCAGGGAGGGGGAGGCAGGAGGGGCACCGAGGGGAAGGAGGGGGCACCTTCCAGGAGCTTTGTGTTTTCACACATTGGAACTGACAGGAGACCTTCTTCTTTGTGGGTGGGGGGAGTGTTTGGGGGCATGGGGCTGATGAGGGGGGGATGGAAAGGGAGAGAGGTGGGGTGTTGGTGGGCAGGGTTATGATGTCACAGCCAAAGTTACAACAGGAGGAAAACACAGAAATGGTTCAACATTTTTTTTTAAACTTTGGACTGCCAAGAGCTGAAGGAGAGTGGTGAGCAAAGGAATGAAGGGGAGAGAGAGAAACTAAACTGGAAGCCTGAGTTTTGTGTTGCCTCTTGAAACCTTATGAATGGATTACTAGCAGCTGAGAGCCAGGAGAGACCTATAGGGGATGCAAGATCACCCACACACTCAAAGGGGGAGAAAAGCAGGCGGAACCTTGCCCTGATGTGCTATCCCCCCTTCCTGAAATGAATGGTAGGAGATATTTTTCTGAGGGTCCTTGGGGTGGCAAGGGAGTAAGGGGGGGTTGATTTCTTTTCTTACCTATCTTTTCTCTTAAGCTAAGCCACCTCTTCCTGATATCCTCTCTCTGTCTCTGTCTCTGTCTCTCTCTCTGTCTCTCCTTCTTGGCTCTCTCCCTCCTTCCTCTCCTCTGCTTTTTTGGCTTTCTCTGTCCCCACCCCCAGTCTCAATTTCTATTCTTGATCTGCTTCAAGGGGGGAAAACTGAGTCAGAAAAGTGAAGGGAGCCAGGGAAGTGATAAAAGAATAAGGGACAGTCGAGGACCAAGGGATATCTGCCCAGCAGCACCCACGTGCCTGAATTGAGAGCATCTTTGGGGACTGGCTTTGAGGCTCTATTCCATGCTACATGGGGAGGCAGGGTGCACGTGGGATGGGGCACACAGTACACAGCATCTGTATTGCTCAGCTGGAGTAAAGGAGTTCAGAAAGCTAAGGAGTGATGGTCTTTCTCCTGAGCATGTGGGCTGTGTGGTTTAGGTATGAGCAACAGAAGCAGTGATTTTAAAAGTGTAAGTGATTTTTTTTCCTTATTGCTTGAAAGGAGGACTCAGTGCATATTTGTACCTATTTTCTACTACCTGTGGGCAGGCATGCCTATGTCTGCATTTCAGAACTGTTCTCTGCATGTATGTATGTGTCCATGTGTCTGTCTGTGTGCTCTATTTACACACATGTTCCTGTAAGGGATGGAAACCCTTTCGAGAAAGCTGGCATCTAACACCTAGGCAAACAATACAGAGGTTAAATTTAGGGTATTCTCTTCCTCCACTCTTGGCCATTCATTTCATGTCAATAATAATAATAAGAAAATGTAGCTGCCTCAGTTTAGCTGTTCATTTGTGTAAATTGCTTATTCTAAGCACATCATTTGTTTATTTATTTACTTGGCATATGGTGACTTTTACTAACTTCAGGCTGAGATACTTCTGAGAGAAAGAAGACTGTGTGCTAGGAGTACATGACACTTCCATTTAATGCTGCTGAAGGCAGAGTAATTGATTTCTCCTTCCCTCTAGCATCCAATAGGAAGTGAATTTTGGTATTGTCCTTTTAAATCTGAAATACTAAATTAAAATAAGAAAACAAAATATGGGAGGCTTGTGATAAAGGAAAGAGATGTGAATGGTCCCCAAAAGGCTAGTGTGAGCTTATTGACCAGGTTCATTCAAAGTGTGTGTGTTGTATGTGTGTGTGTGTGTGTGTATGTGTGTGTGTGTGTGTGTGAGAGAGAGAGAGAGAGAGAGAGAGAGAGAGAGGCTACACACAGAAAGACACACTCCAAAACAGTATTGATTGTTTTCTATTGATTGTGTAGGCTGCAGCTGCTGAGAGAGAAAGCCTGAGATGTTTACTGGGGAAACCAAGAGGAGCATCTGTCCCCTGTGTCTCTGAGAGGTGGGGGTGGGGGTGGGGGTGGGGATTCAAGAAGAAGGAGGGGACAGGGAGTAGGTGGAGTGATGCACCAAACTTATTAGCTTTGACATCATCATTGTCTTTAAATGAAAAAAAGAAAAAGCCAGGAAGATAATTACAGGCAGAGAGAGGGAGAGAGGGAGAGAAGGGGAACAGGAAAGACCAGGAGGGAACAGCTCCCTTGACCTATATGTGGTTCATGTTGCTCTTTTTATCCATCTTTCCAGCAACCCACCAGACTCCCAGAAGGTGAAACCAAGGGCTCTCAGCCTCATTTAGTCAAGAGAACAGCAGACTGGCCGCCAGAAAACTTTACAAAGACTTGCAGCATACCAACAAGTTGGACAGGGATTAAAAAAAACCTCTCTTCAATAGTCAACAACCCTGAGCAGCACGCTGAGAGAGTGCTCACCTACCCAGGCAGACGGGAAGCTGCATGGACACCTGGCTGAGGTCATCTAAAGAGTTAAGTACCAGCACGGGTTTTTATGGCCCCAGATTATTTTTTGCATTTTTAGGTAAAGAGCATCAAATAGTGTCTTGGTCTAAAAGTCTTCTTTTCTTTCTTTTTTTTCTTACCAATTTGCTTTAAGTCGAACATATTTTGGATGATGGGCTCTAGGAGAGGCTAGCTCCTAGGGAAGAAAGAAGAGACAGAGAATATCAGGGAAAAAGGGTTATTTTGAATGACTAGCTAGGGTGCTATGTTTCTTTGAATTTTGTCTGATGTCATACATACTCTTCCAGTATCAGTGACGAGAGGAGTGCCTGGAGGAAGAAAAGGGAGCCTGAGGTCTCTGGGAAGAAGTTAAAAGTCACAGAGCAGTTAACTTTGTTCTTAAGGACTGACATCCCGCAAGAGGAGCCCAGTAGCACTGGGGCTGGCTGGCTGAATTCCCAGGACAGGTAGCCAGGTGGGACATATTTTGGGGGCTAGCCGAAAAACTTTGGTTTGTGAATCAGTTTCTCTGGTGACTTCAAAGCCACTACTGGTGTCCTTTTCCTCTTCCCCCCTTCATTCTTGTGTGGTATCCAGAAGCTGACCACTGGTTCTGAGGGTCCAGCTGAGGGAGATATGATGTGTTGGAAGGTTCTGAGAGTCAGTCTGGTGGTCCTGGCTGGGTGGGCTTTCAGTACCACCAACTCGGAGCTGGGCTGGACACGCAAGAAATTCCTGGCCCAGAGGGGACAGCTGAACCAGGTCCTGTTGGGAGGGGAACGCTGTTGGTTGGGGACCAAGATTAGAAGACCCAGAACTGCTCCTCAGCATCATCTCTTTGGGGTCTACCCAAGCCGACCAGAAAGCTACCTAAGGCCCTACGCTGTATGGAAGAAGCGAACCCCATATGTAGGATGGAATCAACCAGGCATGGAGAGACAGGCTCCGAATGTGGTTCCCCGAAACCTGATTGAGAACCCAGCAGAAATGAGGAGGGAGTCTGAGCAGCCAGCTGCCCTGTGGGTAGGGGATGGTCCTATTGGGCAATCAGAGCTGCTGAGAGATGATGACACTTATCTTGGCAACGGAGGATCCAAGGAGGCTCTAGGTGAGCCTGCGACTCAGGGAAGCTCCGAAACTGCTGCCTCCACCATCACCACCTTTGCATACCAGAAAAGACCCACAGAGAAGACCCTGAGGAAGGGCCAGGTCAGGTCTAGGCTTCCTCGCCATGTGCTGAAAAGGCAGGCAGAAGATATAAGCAGAAACCCCCAGAATGCCCCTGTAGATTTCCAGCTCTGGCCTAAGGACCCCCTTAAGCATGGAGATAGTGACAGTCTGTTGGAGGGCACCATCCAAAATGGTGGAGGGGGTTCTGCCTGGGGAGTAGAGACCTTTAACCCCCAAGGAGGATTGCCTGTACTGTACTTCTCTGGGAAGAGGGAGCGGCTGCTGCTGCGTCCAGAAGTGCTGGCTGAGATTCCCCGGGAGGCGTTCACTGTGGAAGCCTGGGTGAGACCAGAGGGAGGACAGAACAACCCAGCCATCATTGCAGGTAATGTCCAACTCTACTCCTGGGCTTTCTCAGGTCCCCGGGGGGTGTATGGCTGGCTCCATTTCAGCTGTGGGTAGACACAGAAAACAAAAAGGAGAAAAGGATAAAGCAGAAAAGCTAGGAAGACTTGGCCAGAGGGGATGTGTGGATGTGGGGCTTATTTATCAGAGCAGGAGTACTGCAGGCACCATCAAACGAAAGATGACTCCTACCCACGACATCATTACCGCTATCGATCTCTCTGAGTTCTATACATTGTGCTTGTACTCAGGAGACCTCAGCTTAGCTCTTTTCCCTTTTTAAAGGGAAGCACTTGGATTCTTTGTGAAGGAGGAACAGGAGTCACACCCTGCTTCTCATAGTCTAGCATGGGAAATCCAGGCATCTCTGGAAGCAGTTGACAGCCCAAGGATGGTAGTAGTGAGGAACTCCCAGCTGGGTACAAACAGCTAGGGAATACTGCTGCCACCCTGGAACTAGGAAGAAAGGTAGCACCTGTCTCATGTCCTGGGATCCCTATTGCTTCATCCCAACTGCAGAAGGCAGGCACTTAGAGGTCAGGGTCCTGACTTCTGGCTCTAATGGTTGGGGTGAAGACCTAACTATAGAAAGCTTATTTAACATGGCCAACTCTGTAATGTTAACCAGAGGCACTCGCTTGGACTTGTTACCTGTGTTTATTTTGATTATCAGAGAAACACCTAGAAGGACAAAGAAAAGAACTGGGTTTAGAGTCATTGGTCCCCCCCCCTTTTCCCTATCTGGCAAGGAGGGAGGGATTTGACTGTATATTTTATCCTTTGGCGTCTCATTATTCTCTTGGACACCTCACCAAGGGAGAGTGGAGAGTGGGGACATAATGATGTGTATGCATGAGAATGTCACAATGAGACCAATTAGTTAATATCATAACTAAAAAGCTATCAAATGCTTATCACACACACACACACACACACACACACACACACACACACACACACACACTGACTCCAATCTGGATTAGTCAAACACCTTCATGTTTGTTCCTTTTCATTGATGGAGACATTGAGGCAATGAGGGTCATGTCAAAGACAGGGTGCCGGGGGGGGGGGGGGTGGGATGTCAGAATTCCTGAATCACTTGATAGCTTCTCAAACAGAACAGGATAGAACAAAACAAACAAACAAACAAACAAAACCCACTCAGGTTGCCCAGTGCCTCCAAATGAGTTGCAGACTAGGCAAAAAAAAAAAAAAGTGGAGGGAAGGATCCTCCTCCAGTGGGGTGTCTCTGGAACATCCTTGTGGACACTCTGTCTCCCCTCTTTGGCTGAGTTTTCTTATTTGGAATCTGGGATTCCCAGACACTGAGCACTCTCCAGTCATGTGGCTTTGCTTTATTTTAGTTTTGGGTGGGAGAGGGGGTGAGAGAAAGGGCCAGGCTGTAAGCTAGTTGGGGGCAGAGAGAGAATAGCAGAAAACCCTTACTCTGAGGCCAAAATGGAAGAAATAATGAGATGATTATCTGATCGGAGCTGGCAGCTTCGCAGTTTCCCCCAGATGACATCTTCTTGGTGCCTAGTCTGGCTTCCTAATGCCCATCTGCCAGGGAGACTGCGTGCTTGCGGTCTAGATTGAGGCCCAAGGCTTTGACTATGCTTCCTCCTGCAGGAGAAACATAGAGACCTGGGATCTTTTCTCTGGTTGTGAAGAGTGCGAGAACCCAAAAGGGATATTCATGGGAGGCTCTAAGGCACTATTGCTCGGGGTTATTAAAGTCCAGTCCTGGAAAACAGGAAGGTGGCACCTGACCTCTGCATTTACCTCTCCAGTCCTGTCTCACACTCATCAAGGATAGTGATGTCATGAATTGACTACAGTTCCAGCATTCTTTGCCTCACCTCTGCCATGCATACCCTCATCTCCATATGCCTCCCTGTCTATCACCAGCAGTGGAGCCCAGACTGCCACAGCACACATTCAGGTTCTTTCAGAGCCCATCGGAACCCTCTTAGCCTCTCTAAGCATGGAAAATTGGGCAGGAAATCTTCAGCAATTTAGCTTCTAAGGTTTCTTTTGCTTCATATCCAAGAGCCTCCTGTAGTGTTCAAGGATTTCCCTTCTGGGTATACTTCTAAAAGTTGGAGGGTAGAGGGCAACCAGGCCTGTCTTCCCCATGTTCTATCCTCTATCTTTCTTCAGCCTTGTATCTGGTCCAAATTATCACGGGAAGATGTAGGGTAAAAGCCTTCATTGTTTGGGCTTAGGACCGCTGAGAATTTAGCACCCATATCTGCTCATTGTCTTTTCACCTGTGAATAGACCAGCTAAGGATGATGATGTCACCAAATTCTCAGTAAGAAGAGCCTCTACCTTGCACTAGTTTACACTCACATCTCTCCACAATCCATATGTCTTTCCTTCACTGGCATGAGCCCTCAGACTTGTTACTATTTGTTCCTACTATGGTGACTATGGTGGAACTTGAATTACACAGGGTGACAATGCAAACTCAAGTTGCTGGGAGAAGCACACACATAAGCCTATAGCTGCACTTACTTCTCTTGCTACTCTGAGGGTGGGCCAGCAGGCAGAAAGACTTGGCTCTCACTCTGCCAACAGCTTTCAAACCTCAGATTCCACCTACTTAACTAAAACCAGCCTTTAAGTCCTCTACCTACCATGCTTGAGGTATTTTCTCCTCAGCAGAGACCTCAAATAATTTAGTCAACACCAGCCACTGCCAAAGAAACCCCTACCCACAGCTACAGAACCTTATGGAATAGTTGCAACACGGGGCACTAGGTGGCACTGTTGTCTCATGCACCGGAGACTCGGAAGCCACAAAGTGGGGAATGTCTTTCATTTCCTTGAGGGCTGTCCTGTCCCAGCCTCTGGGCTGTAATTTAATCACCTTCTTTCAGAATGTTGTTGGTAGGCATGTAGGCATCCCTCGGGGTCCACTTCATATAAGTCCTTTTTTTTTTTTGGAAAGGCCTGTCTGGAATAGCTTAAGCAGCTCTTTTTTTTTTTTTTTTTTTTTGAGAATTGTGACTAACTTGTAGTTCTAGCAAGAAGTGAGGAAAACAAAATCAGCTAGAATTACCCTCTCCCTGCACTCTAAGTTCCCGCATTCTTCGGAAACAAGTCAGACTCCAGAATGAGTTTCAAGAATGCTTTTCTGGAGGGTTGCGGGCAATGCAGGACTCCTTCCTGGCCATCCTCTGGGCTTTCTGGAAGGTTAGACCTTCTGAAGTTGCCTTTTCCCACTGCTGGATCTGACCTGTGGCAGCAGAGAGGGGACTGCTCCGTGGTGGGGTTCTTCACAAAGGTAGCCAGTTAAAGGTCTGGCACATTGAGCCTATGTGGCAAGCTAGGAGTAGCCTGAGGTTAGGAGTCCATTAGGTTGGGCCATTAGAAGTTAGTGGTTGAATAAGCCATCTTCTGTCCTAGTCCAGTGTGGATTCCTTAGGGTCCAGTGGCTAACTCTGAAAACACCTGAGCCTTTCCCACCCCTTCAACTTCCTTTCCTCTCCTTCAACCCCAACATACACAAAAAAGAACATTTTAATAGGTTCCTCCGCACCCATAATTGATTTCAAATGTTCCCTGAAGTCGCCCAGCTGAGTAACCACCTGCAGCTCTGAGCTACAGGACATTGAGTCATTAAGTCTGTGGTGGGTTGGAGCCTAAGCCCAGAATTCTTAATCCAACAAATATTTGTTGAGTGCCTTGCCATGCAAAGTGTGGCAAGTCATTGAGGGGAATACAAAGATGTTTGAGAAACTGTCCTTGACATGAAGGGAAGTTTTGGCCCTCTGAGTGCCCCAGCTTTACAACATGTCTCAGTGTAGAGCCTGAGGACATGTAGCCAGACAGTTGTTTCTGGCTATCCATTCAGCCTTTTGTTTGCTTGTTTGTTTGTTTTCCTGAGCAAAACTTTTCTCAAATTGAAAATCAAAGGAAATGTATGATTACATAGGTATGATTACTTTTGAAATAATGTTGGAAAAAATTCCCCAACAAAAGATGAATAAGGAGATGCCCTGAAGAGTTAAGTGTTTTAAATATGTAGATAAACTACACAAGATTTAGCTGTGAGACTTCCATATTTACCAGTGACATGAAAGGTATGTAGCAGGAGACATCCAAATTAAATTAATTTCTAATTTAATTCTATTTTTTTTCCTTAACAGAAATATTAACTTGAATTCCTTAGGAATTTAGTTTGGTAATCTATAAAACAGTAATGACTGTAAGAGTTTTTTTTTTCTTTCTTTCTTTCTTTCTTTCTTTCTTTCTTTCTTTCTTTCTTCACAATACGGTTTTAAGATAAAAATGGTAAACTAAAAGCCCCAAAGGATTCATTTATTTCATTAAAAAGTTCGTCTGATCTTCTTGAGCAGCACTATTTCAAATCAAGTAGGCAATAGTGCTAAAACATTTATTTAATTTTTCTGAGGCATAAACATTATTGAACATCTCATGAGATCTGTGCTTACTTAATAGAAAAATTTACATATTTATCTGGATTTCCTGATAGCCAGGACTGCTAACATTAGCCACTGTTCAGAACCTATGGCTAGCTTTTCTGTGTGAATGACATGTATGGAATGATATTTTAGGGTAGAGTTCTCCATCATAGGGAACACAAGGTTTTGGAAAGGGCACGAGGGCATACAAGGAGGGTGCCCTGACCCTGCAGATTCATACAGGCAAGGATTGGAGTCTGCACCTTTCCCAGAGCTCCTCTGAAGATAGAGGTCTCTGTTCTGCCCTTCATTTCTTCTCTCCAAGCAGCAATGGTCAAGTCAGGTGTCTGTCCTCATCAGATCCTGGGGGAATTACCTTGTTCTCCTCACATCCAACTTCTGCACTGGGACTCAGATTTCCAGTGAAGCTTTAGTGACCATATTTCTGGCATATAGCTGTCCATGTGAGGTCCCACGGTTGACTCCTCGGGTGGCCCTGCCCTCTCTAGTGACAAGGGAGATGTAGGAATTGTCTGTGTGAAAGAAACAT